AATGCACTGTGGCATTGTGCACTATATTTTGTATATTTTTTATTATTTAAATTAAGTATCTCGTCGTCAAAATCGGGATCGAGCAATATTATTAAACTTTTCTCTTCTAACACAGAGCTTTTTAACCAAGGACTTAATCACTTTCGATAACAAAAGATTAAGTTCCAGCTCATCGATCAGAGACCGAGTCGACGGGAACACCAACGACAGATTATACTGAAAGATACTGAAAGATACAATAAAATAAAATAGAAAAATATTTACGTATAGAACATAATATTAAATAACGCGTTAAATTCACGTACGTGTAGACCAAAAAGAAATTACAGCAAAATAAGGTATTGCACTTGCGCAAACTTTGCTTAAGTGACAACCAATCATTACTTTGGCCCCAAAAACCACGTGACCATGTTCCCCGCTCCCCTGAAGCGGCTTCGCCCGTCGCGGTTAATGCTCCGTCTCCTTATTCCTATGTCTATGCATGAAATCCGTTCCGTTATAAAAGCATATAATGCGTGGATGAAGAAATGGAACGGCTTCTGCACTCCATGCTCTACATTAAGAGCCGTCTACAATGGAGAGTTGTAGGCCGTAATAGTAAGAAATTGACCAATCACAGACAAAGTACAGAAGAATAATCGATTGTGATTTGTCAATTTCTTACTGTTACGGTCTAAACTTCTCTATTGTAGACGACCCTTTAAAGAGCCGTCTACAATGGAGAGTTGTAGGCCGTAACAGTAAGAAATTGACCAATCACAGAGAAAGTACAGAAGAATAATCGATTGTGATTTGTCAATTTCTTACTGTTACGGCCTACAACTCTTCATTGTAGACGGCTCTTAAAGAGCCGTCTACAATACAGTCGTAAGCCGTAAGCCATAAGAAATTGACCAATCACAGTCAAATCACGGAAGAATAATCGATTGTGATTGGTCAATTTCTTACGGCTTACGGCTTACGACTGTATTGTAGACGACGCCTTAAGAGCCGTCTACAATGGAGAGTTGTAGGCCGTAATAGTAAGAAATTGACCAATCACAGACAAAGTATAGAAGAATAATCGATTGTGATTTGTCAGTTTCTTACTGTTACAGTCTAAAACTCTCTATTGTAGACGACCCTTTAAGAGCCGTCTACAATGGAGAGTTGTAGGCCGTAATAGTAAGAAATTGACCAAGGCTGTGTTCAGTTAAGCAAGATGGAACGAACTAATGCAGGAAATGAAGGAAATACAGGAATTGGAACTAATGAAACTAATGAAAGAAGTGAAAATAGTGAAAAAAAAGAAGGTTGGCTCCCCTGATCTGTTGCGGAACATGTGTAGTG